TCTGCATTATGCAGATGACACAACCCTGCTTGCTGAAACTGAGGAGGAACTGAAGCACTTGCTGCAGAAGATCAAGGACTACAGCCTTCGATATGGATTGAAGCTCAACATCAAGAAAACAAAGATTCTAATTACTGAGCCAATTGGCAACATTATGATAGATGGTGAAGAGATTGATATTGTAAACACCTTTAGTTTGCTTGGCTCAACAACCAACACTCTTGGTACCAGCAGCCAGGAAATCAAAAGAAGAACTGCACTGGGACCTCTCCAGAGTACTGAAAAGCAATGATGCCACTCTGGAGACTAAGGCGTGCCTGATTCAGACCATGGTCTTCACAATTACTTGCTATGCGTCAGAAAGCTAAACAATGAGCAGGGATGATCGAAAGAGAATCGATGCCTTTGATATGTGGTGCTGAAGAAGAGTACTGAATATACCATTGACAGCCAAACCGGTTTGTCTTAGAGAGGTTGAAACCAGGCTACTCCTTAAAGGCAAGGATTCAGAAGCTTTGTCTGACATACTTTGGGCATGTTGCAAGGAGGGACCAGTCCTTGGAGAGGGACATCATGCTTGGAAAGGTGGAGGGACAGCACAAGGGAGGAAGATCATCGATGAGATGAATTGATGCAGTGACTGGGGTAGTGAGGGTAGGTGTGTCAGAGACAATAACGTTGGCACAGGATAGAGCAGGTTTCAGGGCTACTGTACATAAGGTCTCTATAAGTCGCAAGCAATTTGATGGCACATAACAACTACAAGGCATTTGATGATGTGGATCATAACAAATTATGACTAACATTGTGAAGAATGAGAAGTCTAGAACTCTTAACTGTGTTAATGCAAAATCTACACCCAGAACAAAAATTTGCTGTTCAAAGTGAGTAAAGCCACACTGTTGTTGTTGTTAAGTGCCATAGGCTACTCATGGCGACCCTATGAATGAAAGTCCTCGACCCTTGCATGAATTTCATCCTTTCTCCAGGTTCCTAGGGTTTCCAGAGGCAAGTTATTTATGGATGTCACTCCTGCTTCCAAGCTTGTTTTTACCAGGGAGCACCACCAAACACAGTCCACCATGGGTAACCGTTATCACATTTGCCACATCAGTGTCACAGTGTTCAGCTTCACAGTAACCACGCGTTACCTCTGTATGGCAAGTGGACACACCAGGGCTATACAACCTACAAGAATATTTGACCAAAAAACCACACTACTGTTGTTGTTATGTGCCGTCAAGTCACTTGCGACTCACAGCGACCCTATGTACAACAGCCCTAAACCCTGCTCTATCCTGTGCCAATCTCACTGCCTCTGACACACCCATCCCGATTACCCCAGTCACTGAA